GCCTCGCGATCAGCCTCTCTCCCAAAAAATGATCTCAGGGGGGTATTTATAACCCCTGGATGAAATAGTGCTTCCGATACAGTGTTTGCTGTCTCGGCGGCCGAGACAGTAAAGACTGTCTCGGAAATATTCAACCGCCTGACAGTTTTCTTGTAACTACCTTTTCACGTTTTACAACTCCGTTATTTTAGCAGTTATCAACGTGATTCTCGAATAAATACTGTCTCGCCTGCGAGACAGTAAAAACTGTCTCGCCTGGCGAGATAGAAAAGACTGTCTCACCTGGCAAGACAGTAAAGACTTTCTCGCATGAGAGACAGTAAAGACTGTCTCGCGTGCGAGACAGCCCATACTTGTGTTCTTCTGATTTTTTTTGGATGATATCCTTTTTGAGCTGTATTCGGATATCTTTTAGCATTTTTTGACGCCTACAGATATCTTTGGTGAGATCATCCTTTGTTTGGTCATCTCCCGCGATATAACATAAGTTCTCATAGTGAATGAGAGAAGTGTTCAAATACTCCTTCAACCTAGAGCTGTTGTATTTTTTATCCTATACAATGAAATATTGAAAAATCAGTTTACACATAAGTAAATATTCAAAGTTTGCTCATTTAACAAAAATATTACATGTGTCCACCTATCAAAACAATCTGGATCCATGGTGACAATCTTAGTTTGTGGATCACAACCAAACCTACTCATGTTCATGACAGTGTGCATATCAAAATATTTACCCTTTAAGCACTTAACATGGTCCATGACATTCTCCTTTGTGAACTCAGTGACACACTTCTTGTTGACCTCCTTTGCAGCTTTTCGATATGCGAGTACCTTAAAGTTTTTGTCAACTTTGAGACCATCCTTCGCCATCTAGGCAAGGAAGAGGATTAACACATCATCATTCTCTGTAGTCCATTTAGCATTAGGCACCCCCCTTGTATTCTCTTTCTTATTCAAGACTTTTGGTTGCATTTTTCTTTTACCAACTGCTTGCTTCTTGCTTTTGCTTGGTGAGGTAGCTTCACCCTCAAGATCAATTGCAATTGGCCTCTTCAAAGAATGAGTCTCACCTGAGTGGGTATTGGGGGAAGTTTGGATAAGTGGGTGGCCATTATTAAGCATATTCACATATGATATGGGATGTTGAGTCATAAATGAGTAGTTGATATCGTAAGGATTGTAAGATGGATATGAAGGTGGAGCAGTGTATTGGGGCGGAGAGAATGATAGTGTAGTGGGTGGTGGAGGAGCCGGGAAGTATGGATAAGTGGGTATTCTAGGTGTTCTAGGTGAAGTATCCTTGAATTTATCATTGTCATCACAGTCTGTCATGCCTGATTGCTACAAATAAAATCATACAAATAACAAAATTCAAACCTCATGTTAGTACAATTATAGAGTGCACATAAACACAGAAAATAGCATTCATAAAGATAATATACCCAATTATCCACGAGTACAATAATATCAACGAGTACATAGAGATAGTAAACAATATATCAACGAGTACAATAATACATGAAAAATATAACTTAAATTACATCCCAATCTCAGTTGTGTCTCCACCATGATATTTATTATAATAATCTTCCCACATTTCAATTGCAATTTGATCCCTTTTTACTCTCCATTCATTTCTTGAATCTCTTTTCTCTCTTTGTGTCATAGTTTGAGTAAAGTCAACAACACCCTCTTCACCCTCATTAGCTATTTCATCACCATCCTCTTCAATGAAATTGTCCTCATGCAAAAACTCATCCCCCGGATCTTATGGCGATGTAGTTATGAAGTATAGTATATGCAAAAACTATATCGACTTGAGTTGGAAAAGGGTGATGTGGCTTCGCAAATAGGATTTTGAAACGATTTTTCAATACCCAAAAAGTTGATTCAATTTCAGAACTTAGAGATGAGTGTCTTAAATTGAACAACTCTTGTCTATTATTGATTGGCCTACCCTTGTGCTCATTTAAATGATAACGCACTCCTCGATATGGGGAGATAAAGCCATGCATAGTAGTGTAGCATGCATCACACAAATAATATTTTCCTACAATTACCAAAAAGAATTTTAATAATTTTTTTAATTTTAATGAAATAGACATATATTACTGTCGTAAACTCCCAATCCGTGAGGTCGTGGTCTAGATAACGCGTCTTCCAAAACTCTATAATCATTTACGGATCCCTCCTATCCAGCAAGAACATACGAAAATAACTTATTGGGAGTGCATGCAGCTAGAACATTTTGAGTTACACCTTTATGACCTCTAAAACGTGCAACAAGGCTAGCGGGAAGCATGGCGTCGATACGAGTTCCATCTATCATGTCAATGCAATTCTTTATGATATATTAAACAGTTATTAATAATAGAAAGGTAAAATTATCTGTTATGTTATTAGTAATTATATTATAATAGTGACTACCTTGAAATAATGATAATATAACGGGTTAGTGGCAATCTCTGGCGATACTTTATTTGGTGCTTGCTTCATGTACTGTCCCCTTAAATGACCAACGGCTTGCAAATACTTGTTAAAGTATTTTAAAACTGTTTCCCCCGATCTTATGAAATGTGAGCTAACAATTCTATTTTTTGTTTTATAGCCTAATATATTAAGGAACATAGGCAATTGTTCTTTTACTTTAACACCCCGTGAATTTTTTAGTAGGCCGGTATATCTCATTATTCTAACAAGATTTTTAAATGCACGCGGCCTCATTCTAACATAAGCCCTACAACTCTCATTATAGCCATTGAACACACGACTTATGAGACTAGCTCTAGAATCTATCTTTTCTTTATTTTCCACCTTATGGTGATAAGTGATTGATTTTTTTCTACTACATATCCTCATTAAACAAGCAAACACACAAATCACCACAGAGATAGTAGCATTATTAACATCTCTTCATCAATGGCGTCCATCTACATTGTTTTAAAAAGAAATTTCTCATAAAAATACTATGCATCAATCTTAAACAAGTGCTCAGATAGTAAATAGTAATCAACAATGTTCAAGGAGTTAAGTGAAATTAATCTTAATAAACACATAAAATAGATAAAAACCCAATCTTACAAAATCCAAGAAACTAAGAGGAAAATTATGAATGCAAAGTTCTAATATACCTATTTCAAAGAACTATAGCAACATATATATCAACAACACATCCTCCCCATAGAAAAGTTCTTCGAGTACAACAATTCATGGTTACTAGAATAAGGCATTATCAGTAATTTTGTCTCGTCATGGCCAAAAGCTAACTTTGATCAGCGTTTTCCATGTTCCTAAAATTAGAAAGAACCTTATGTCTGCTACCTTACTTTGTAATACAAGCGTAATAATCCCTAGACATTTCCTGATTTGCATAACTAGAGAGTGAAAAACTAAACTTGCTGAACATAAACAATACTTCTACACATATCTCTCTCAATATCCCCATGCCACAAGACAAAGAATACAACATTTTCTCGAGAATAAATTAATTCAGTAGGATCCTTCTTTCACAAATGCATTCCACTAGAACCCTTGGATATTAATCAGGATATATCAAATTGAGAAATATATAATCAGAAAATATTGGTGTTATGAGGAAGAAAACCCCAAACCAATCATCAAATCGCAGATGTACACATCCTAATTTGATGTTCGAGTCAAAATCCACATCAATTCATCACATAATTACAAAATTCTATCTACGAATACGCTACTTTTCCAAATGCACTTCTTCAACCTTATAAATCACTCGTAACAATACTAATGGAGCAAAGAATTTTGACATGCATTACGAAGAATAGAAGCCCAAAACATTCATAAAATTGCATAGCCAAGTTGTAGAAATCCAAATTTGAATTTTTTCTAAGCAACGTTTCACATGTTCCAACCAAATTCTCCCATCAAATTCATCACATAAACACAGACTTCTACCCAAGATTCAACGCATACCCCCAAAGCAATCCCTAGAAGAAGAACAACAACAAAAGGGGGAATTAGGATATTTACTATGGGAAAAGTGTTGTTGGCGTAGGAAATAAGCATGCAGGTCTTGCCAACGGCCCCGTCGCCGACAGTGACACACTTTATGAACCTTGATGCGCTCATCTCCAAATCTCAACTAAACTTCTCACAAATTCAGAAATTAAAATAAAGATACAAGAACAAACGAGTGCTTTCCAATTCAGATTTCCTCTAACCTGCACTTTAATGTATATGCCGAAATGCATCAAAAACCCAAAATAATCTCCAATTCAATTGGCCTCGTCCTCTCCTCCAACCCAAAATCAGAAATCGAAATAAAAAACCCTTAACACAAATCAAAATCAACGGAAAAATAGACAGCCGAAGCAGATTTGAAGCAATCAAAATCAACACAAATTATAATTACAAAACCCTAACACAAATCAAAGCAATAAAAATTTCTATTTAGAGAGAGGGGGTGAGAGATTTATACCTACGGGGTAGGAGAAAATCACCTACAACCCTAGAATCCTAAAGCAACATAAATCCTCAAAATAATTTTGCCCAAATCTTTATTTTAACCTCCAAATCCTCGAGCAAAACAAAGATACAACGGAAAACAAAGATACAACGGAAATGGTGGAGGGTAAGATTTGGTCTAAAATATGCTGAAAATGGATGAAGAACGTTAAAGTTTGGTAGGGAGAAATAGAGGAGGCGGGTAAAAGAGGAGGAAGATGAATATAACGGTAACAGGAGTGAGAGGAGAGAATTTCGGAAGCTGAGGGTTTTAATGAGGTGGAGGGGTTTTGATGATTTCCACCCCACATCCTCTCTCAATGAGGGGATTTCACAAATCCTGAAAAATATTAGTTTTTTATAATTTGGAGATTCAAAATCCCAAAATTTGTTTTGAAACAAACAAAGTTTATGGAATCCTAAAACTCTATAAAAAAGCCCACTTTTTCATCTTAGAATTTGGAATCCACCCTATATCCTAAAAAAAAAGGTTGAAACAAACACCCACACACAAAAAAAACTGAGAATTGACCGACTGGGAATTTATAGCGGGGGAACAGTTTACAATTCGGCTCACATCACATAAATAGAACTGTAAACAACATAAAGCAGAAAGAAGAGATTACATAAGAACACAATAGAGCCATTCAAAGGCTCTTATACAAATACTCACAATGGATTACAGATAACTGAATAATGTGGGACAAAACTTACACGGGTTGCTTGGTATAATACAACAGAACCGAGATCACTGTGCAAAGCATGAACCAGGACCACCAGGGGGCTGCCGGGCATAGGCATTGTTAACTGGAGCAGCTGGAACTCCGCGATGGTTCAACAAGCATCTGAAGTAATGTAGACGAGGCAACACAGTTGAGTTTATACTTCCTGGAGCAGTAGCCTCCCTTGAACTCCACATGCGCTCTACAATAAATTTTAGAACTTGATAAGCTCAAATCTTGAAGGTTTGCATTGTAGGGTTTTAACTTTTAGTGCAGAATTGCACATTGAAAAGTATTTCAAATTTATATGGTGCACGATATGAATCAGCAGCTAGCTGAGACAAGATATGCAAGCAAGCATTTCCTTGAGATGAACATACAACATTTAGCAACCAAAAAGTAAATGGAACATAGAAGTAAAAAGAGTAATTTCACAAGAAAATAATTTCTCGTGAATTTCTATTTGCATTTGTTTTTACTTCCATTTTTTGACAGAAACAAATCTTGTTTATTTGATAGAAGTGAAAAAAAGGAAAAGTTGAGTAGCCTACATTTGTACGAGTTGTTTAGCTATTTTGGAAAATAAATACGGGAAAATGGAAAGGATGAGAGAAAATAAAATATCAAGTTTTTTCTCCTCTCAAATTCATTTTCTCCATCCACTTTCTCAAAAATTTTGAGAAAGTCAAAGGGACTAGAAAACCAATGGCACCTTCCACCTTCCATTTATGTCCAGTCACTTTCGAATTGCCAAACATAAAGGGGAAGGAAAAAAAGGTGAGATCACTTTCCAATTTGTAGTCCACTATCCATTTACTTTTCTGACTGCTGAACACATCATAACTGTGTTTTATCATTTATTTACCTGCAGCGGCAGCAGCACGTGGCCATATCGTCTGTAGAACATCAGATGTATCAGCTGTCTCACCCCACATGCAAACTTCTCCCCCAAGAACAAGTTCTTGCTGTGAAGAATCAGCTATTCCTTCCAACGGTTCACTGTCATAGAAGCCCTCCCACGGAATATCTAGATGATCAAGATACCACACGCCCTGATTGCTTACAATACATCTAAAACCTTTTGCAACAGCTTGAGGACAAACTCCCGGTCCTAACCTGTAATGTACAGATCAACCAGATATCTATGTAAGGACTGAGAGTTCCAAACAATTTAAATATGTTACATCAACAAAATTGGAGGACAGGAATAATATAATGAGGCAATCAAGAACCCACCAGTTATGTACAACTGTTTTAGGATTGAGTTTCTCCTTAAATGTGTTGAAGGTTTCTTCCCTGGGGATAACATGTACAAGGATATCAGAGAAATACAGTAAACCCTTTTTTTGCGGGTTGTGCATATGGAGCCAGCATAAAAAAAAAATACATACCAATTAACAGGAATCCAATTATGAGAAATCGCCATCTCTTGAGCTCTCAATACAAAATATTGGTATGCGTCTTTTGTTGTCATGTTATGCTGTTCAAGCCTGTATGCATATGCAAAAGGAACCAAGACATGCAAAGATGATCATCAACATCCAATTTGGACCAAGATGCTTACAGTAGATCTATAAATCGTTTTAGGGTACATGTCCTCTGAGGGAACAGATAGTATGACCACAACAGGTGGAATAATATGAATAAATAAACTTGTAACTTCAGGTTCTGGGCTGTCCAAGAGGACAAACAGCAGATCTAGTCATGGATAATAAAATAAAGTAAGTGCTCACAATAGTTCCCAGCATCCTCAAGCGTTCAGCAAATCTGGGAGATCCCTAACTAATCTTTTTAAGGGGTGTACGGCTCCAAGAATTCCTGAGACCCTTATTTATGCTTTATTTCTTTTAAGAATAAGTTTGCTTTAAAACTCCAAGAAATTGCACAGGAGCAGTTCATGTTAATATGCTTGAACGAACATCTCCAGGCCAGGCATAACTGATGATTATAGTGTTACAAACTACACAAGTTAGCACAAACTCATGGAGAACTTCTAACTAGTATTTAGGAGAAAATTTCAGCTGGTATTTCCCTTGCATAAGAGTGAAAAAACATTTAGTATGTCACTACGTGAATTGTATATTTGCCAAGTTAAGCCTTCTCCATATCCAACATATTGAATAGGACTAGGCAAACCTTAACTTTCATTTGTTCCTTATGAATTATGATCGATAAGGGATTTTTTAAGGAATCAGTCTAGTACCGTAGTGATTAAAAGCTTGATGGAATTGCAAGTTATGAAGTAAACAACAGGAAGAAAGGTACAAGGCAGTATATAAGTGTGATTCATACCATTGTTTTACATGTGGGGTCGAAGACCAGCAACCTGTAAAGCACAGAGCATTAGCTGATATTGTAAGGTGATAAGACTCGAGAGAAACATCAATCAGAACAGGCTTAGCAGCTACACTACATCAGCAGCAATACATGTCATGATTGATGTGCAACACCAAACAGAATAATATAACAATACCAGAACCCTTGCAGGATCAAGAAATCCTAGATGTGTGTATCACATATGACTAGCAACTAGTTCGTAATACCAACGTTCGAAATATTGGTATCAGCATCAGTGTGGGTTGCTGATTTACAGTATCAGTCTCTATCACTACCAATATCAACTTCACTAACAAACATCTTACTTGCCAACTAATGGAATTCAGCATCATAACAGGGATATTCAGTAAGCTGACCTGTATTGACCTCATCACCTCCCAGGTGGAATAGCCCAAATGGGAAAATCCTTTTCATATCTGCAACAAAAGAATTTCATCAATACCTATATTGCAAGGAAATAGTCTCTAAAGGACCGGCAATGAAGAAAAAAGATTCTTTCAGCTGCCCTGAAAAAAATCCTAATAACCACAACATAACCAAACTCCTGCCAAGTCACAAGGCATACTCAAATGGAAAAATGAAGGATAAGACAACTAAAAAGAGCATACAATGTTACAAAATTATCTTAATTGTTAAAGCAAACAACTGATAGCCTGTTTGCCTAAAAACCATGTCAGCAGCATCCATCCTAATGGTGAATGTCAAGAAAACAACACAAACAAAAGGACCATTATCACAATACAACTACAAACTTTTCAAGATAAATCCACAGATATGTCTATATAAAACTTACCACATTCTCTTACAAGTAATATTTAAGCCATCTATATACACCACAGTTTCTAAGATGAGATCAAGAAGATACTAGAAAGGTTCAAGCCCTGATCATCTCTAACAAAAGAAGTACATCATACATAATAAATTGCTTGATTTAGATCACGGTTTGATCAAACTTTAAGGCAACATTCATGGCCATTAACCAAAATTGGCATTATATTTATCCTAGCTAAAAAGAAGAAACCAAATAAAAAAGAAATAACAATTAAATCTCTACTTGTAAGGAAAACATAATAATTAAATTCGGTAATAAAAAACTTAATGATAATTTTTACCCGTCAAAATTCCAGAAATAACTTCAAATGTGAAATCTTTTGTGACGTCAAGGGGCTCTGTACAATTAGGAGAAGGCCAAAGATTAGGGTAACCAGCGCCCCTGCAGGAGATATCAAGTTAGCTCATAAGAAACACACTGATTCGAACTTCCAAGGCAGCTTAGATACTGAACCACAGCTTGCATAAGGAAACAATTAAGAACATAATCCATACATAAATATACACCAATTATTTAAGAAAATATGCTAAAGCATCATATTGCTGGAAATAAGAATTATTCAAAGATATTTCATCCTATCAGTCCCTGCTTCAATCAACTGTGTATCTATGACAAAATTCTACTTGTAAGAACTTTCTTAACACCAAGAATTGTATTTATTGTGCAGCAAGTTCTTATATATTGATGTGCCAAAGAAAGATAGGTCCTAAGTGCCAATAGTGAATTAATGATCATTCTAATATACACTTAGTAATCAATGTCAACTTCCTCCCTTTATTCCCTTTATATACCTTACACATGATGCAAACCCTTTGGGGAATTGCAATTTAAAGGTTGATGTCCTGTCTGCTTAAATAATACACATCCAAAAAAAAAAAAAGTGTTTTTTGATATTACAACCTACATTGGAAATCCTTTTCAGTATTAAAATTTCACTTAACTACTAAAACAACTATTATTATTATGCAGACTTATGCCTTTAAATTAAAGCACACAATTTTCTCTATGCCCATTTATACAACATTTAAAGTAAAAGCTGTTATAATGAAAAGTTCTACTCACAATAACAAAAATATATAATCATTTAACACCCACCTAAATAGTTCTTTTTCCATCCATTATGAAAATTTTGGTTTCTTGCTTTCTACAGATGCAATGCATGTGCATTGCATGTGCCTGTCTATTAAAGTCTTTCATAAGTGCATATGTTTTCCACTACTAGTCTAAATGATCCAGATCCAAGAGCCTTCACTTCCACAGTCTGCAGCAACTTCTATCAGCAGATACGAGAAACAATGAGCCTCATTAGTAAATATCTGATAAAAAGTGTTAAGGACCCGATAATAACACTGATATAGTACCTCTAGTGATGGTGGACGGAAGCATTCCAACTCTTTTTATGTTTACTAGTCACTTTAAATGCCATTGTAAAACAGATCTGCATATCTGAGTTGATTTGGACAGACTAGAAAAGACTGTTTTAAAAGTAAATATTTCTCAATCGTGCTTTTCATAGTGGTCCATATTGCCTCGTAGTTTACTTCATATACATAATTCACTAATTTGTAAAATTTGCCATGGCAGTGAGCCCTCTTCAAAGAAACCATATACACAACAAGGCTACTCCTAAGTTGACTTGGTTGAACCCACAATCACTAACATAATCATTAAATAAAATATGAAGCTTAAATAGCAGATGTTTCTGCATCATGTAAGCTAATTGAATTATTGTGTCTAAAAAATGCTAGGCAGGTCTAGCCACCTGGGGAGGTTTACAGTTAGCATAAGTTACCACCTAGTGCAAGCTTCACAACGTTAAAAGGCCCTGTAAAACTATTCTACAATTAAGTACTCTTAAGGAGCATATCATCATAAGCCGGCTTATCCAACTGGTCCTGGAACATCCACCTGCAGTTGCAGTCTTCAATTTTATGCTATATTTATAACCACATAGCACCAAGCTTCCGGACAAACTAAATATCCTATATCCATTACATCCTCTTTTCGTCCTTTATTTGTGACCGTGATACATTAAAAAAATCAATATTGCCTTAGCCTTGATTGGCCTGATTCCAACCTCCACTTGGTCCGAACACTAGGTGACGCACCCATCAACCACACTTCTTAGTCTTTGTGAAGCTCTTCTTATTAGTGTTATGAGGAAGCTCCCAGTTTACATAGTGCAGACCAGACACCTGATATAAATTCATGTCCCCATGTCCTCTTGCTTAAAAGTTACCATGTAAGGCACCTGAGAACAACAGTAAACTTAATACTGGAATCCCATTTTCAGGAAATACTCTTATGTGCGTATGCTCTTTTTTTTATAAATAACATTCTATCAGCAAAAACACAGCTAGTCTTACTGTAGCCTTTCGATTACCAGAAGCATAAAAGGAAAGAGCTAGTATTAATTAACAATGAAGAAGAAGTAGCATCTGACAGAGACAATTACCAGGATTCTGCATGACCTGGGACATCAACCTCTGCCATAACATGGATGCCTGAAAAGTCAAATTCCAACAGCTAATGAAAATCTTATCATTAAAACAAACCAAAAAGATACACAAGATCATCTAATACAATCAAGAAGTTTAATGAAAGATTGATAATGGACAAAAAAGGAATATATCTTAAAACCCCATCTGTTCGTTTAACCAAAATGAAGCTGAAGATAACCAGAAAAACGCAAGCACACTACAGTATTCTTGTAACGGTAGACATTAACATACCTCTATTCTTTGCAAAGCTTTTCACCATATAATGCACATGCATCAAATAGAAAGAAACAACAGTTAGAGAATTAGGATACAAATGAAGCATTCCTTTTATAAATAAAAAAACTGAGATGTCTAAAAGAAAATTTATAGGGGGATACGAGCTTAAATCTCAAAGCTTATTAAGTTGGTATGAAATGTTTCAATTAGTAAGAAAAACATGTTTTCATGAATTTCATCAAATTGAACAAAGACGCTATCCTAAAATAAAATGTAAAATACATAACATGGCATGCCTTAATCAATGATGCAATGCATCAATCAAGAAAAAAGGCAAAAGAAATAACAATGTCTGTCACTTACGCCACATTTCACATATTGTTAGTTACTTGGATAGTTGTGTGGCACTTCAAGCAACATTTGATTGGCTACCACTCATTCAAGCAATTTCCCAGATCACAACATCCATAAAGATATAAGTGGAAGGAAGAATTATCTAAAATGTTATATGCAATGCCTTGCAATACAAGCCAAGAGACAAATAAATTAGAAGCGTATTAAGTGACAAGGTCAACAGACAACATAGAAGCATTCCGATAGATGGGCATAGGTAAGACCAACATAATGATGCCATGTAACAATATCCATTCCCTCAATCAATCAGTTACTTTCAGTTTATTTGCATATCCTTGATGAATCAGTTGCTTTTGGTTTACTCACTAAACCACTATGATACCTCAACTAAATATAAATGGACATTCTCAAGTAGACGGTTCTTCATTGCTCAAAAATGGTTGGAAAAGTGGCAACATAAATGCCAGGACTGCCAGCAATTAAAATATTAAACCTTGTGCAGACAGGGAACTACACCAGAATCCTCCTTCAGGTAAAAGACTTAATGACTTTATATTGTACAATTCCATTAATCATGCCATCTTCTAATGGATTAGGTCATTCCAGAGTCCAGACCGTAAAGAAATAGAAAAGGCAAAGTTATCATTCATCTACCTCTAATCTCTCTTAAATTAAATAGAGATCAGCGAAGGCTATTAGAAAATAGATATGAGATAAAATCATATCCAATCACATGTCATAATATCTCAACAATATCTCCTAAATCTAAATACCAATAATATCTAACACTCCTTCTCAAGCTGGAGCATATATTACTATATATGTCCAGGTTGTTACATATCGAAGTAAAACAGCTAGTTGTAGAGCTTTAAGAATGTCATCTATTTCCGAAATACTTGAAGACACTGCAATCAAAAAAATGTAGTAACAGCTAGTAGAATCCCTAGGCGGGTTAGCTAGTAGAATCCCTAGGTGGGTGAGCTAGTAGAAACCCTATGTAGGTTTGACAGTAGAGAGAAACCCTACGCGGGTTAGTTAGTAGAAACCCTAGGCCAGTCAGGCAGTAGAGATAAACCCTACGTGGGTTAGCTAGTAGAAATAAACCCTAAGTGGGTCAGCTAGTAAAAAAATCCTAGGTGGGTCAACCAATAGAAGCAACGTTGGAATTAACTACTTACTTTTGCATCCAACCATCAGAAGATAAAGAAGAGTGAATAATACATGGGTTAATGTTCATCGATGAACAGTGACCGTGATGAATAGTGCCATTTTCCTTTTGAGATTAGGGCTTTGCAAGGGGTAAGGCTTTTTTTTATTAAGATTCAATAAATATTTAGTAAACAAATTGTTAGGGTCCATGTAGTCCCACATCGGTTATATGGATGACTTGATGTGGGTTTATAAGGGATTTGAGTTCCCTCCCTAAACAAGCTACCTTTTAGGGGTGAGTTCTTCTGTGTCTCTTACACAAATAATGTATAAATAAAAGATGTCAGAGCCGCGGAAGATGTTGTGTTAGCCAGGAGAAGTTGCTAGAATCGAGTAGGCTCTGATGCCATGTAAAGAAATAGAAAAGGCAAAGTTATTATTTATCTAACTCTAATCTCTCTTAAATAGAGATTAGAGGATATTATAAAATAGGTATGAGATAAAATCATATCCAATCACATTTCACAGTATCTCCTAAATCTAAATACCAATAATATCTAACACAGACAAATTATTGTTTTTCAATTGGCCAATTGAATCATCCCCCCCCCCCCCCCACTCTCTCTCTCTCTCTTTCTCTCTCACAAAAATCCATCTGATTCCTTATTTCTGGCGGATGTGCGATATTTTCTACATATATTTCTTCTTCACAGTTAGGACCATACTTTCCAAGGCCCACAAAAATTGATGAGCCAAGAAGGAATCACCTACATAACATAAGAGTCCGCTCAACAGGAGATTTTCTTATAAAGTTCCTAAAGTCCCCAACAACAGATGTTATTCCAACATTGTAGCTTAAAAGGTCAAAGTGCATTTGATACTGAAAATGTACTTTCAAGAAAATTCAGTTTTATTTTTCCTCAAATGTTGACTCTAAACAATCCTAGAGAAAACACCACCTTGAATGTATAGATTAAATAAACAAAGTTTCCGTTGCGATAACGGTGCACACAATAAAAGAGCAGGGAATTGTCATCCTGGATGATTTTAGGACTCCTCTGTTTTCATAAAGATATCTCCAACTGCTTGCTAAAGGTCCTTACTAACGGTGTGTTTGGTAATCTTCTCAAAACTAGACCAGGAATTAACCTGGCCCAGTTCTTCTCAGTTTTGAGAAGAACTAGCTCTTTTTTTATCCAACCCCTCCCTCCCCCGGCCCCCACATCAAAAAAGAACCAGTTTAGTAGGGTTTTTTTGGCCTAGGTAAGACTGGGCCAGTTTTGGCCTAGTTTTACCCAAACAAAATTCTTCCCCTTAAAATGGGACCAAGTTTGACCCCATTTTTGAAGGTTGCCAAACAGGCAGAAATGAGAAAAAATAAGAGGTTACCTAGAAATTTGTTTATTCATTTTCTTGGATCTAGTTGAAAACAGGGATAAGAGGTAGCCAAGGCAGCCCAACAGGTTTACTAGGAGGCAAAAATTGCTTAATTTGATGTTATGCGCTCACTGAACAATGTGCACATTTCAAGGAAGCTTGACTATAGGATGCTCTAATTTTTGGCTTTAATATATTTTCACAGGAGAAGTTTAATAGCACATATGACCATAGATATCTGAGAGAGACATGCCCAAATGTCAAAGACATAGCACTGGGGGAATCACTGAGCTAGCTTAGGAAGCTTCTTAGATGATCAGACATGGTAGATAAGAAACACAAATATTCCAGTAAAGGCGAGTCCCAAATAAAAGTTGATTTGTCAGAATAGCCAGAAGACAAAAACAATAAATAGTAGTTCACAAAACACCTAGACTAGGAAGCGGAACAGATTCAGTCGACCACATATTGATCTAGATGGTACAGTGCTGATTTTCTATATTAAATCTCCACTGGTAGTTATTAGCTTTCCCAATGCTTGTGGTAACGTGATGAACTTACGTTAGCAATAAGAAACTATGGAAGTTCAAAGAGCACATCTATAGTAAAACTCATAACTCCTAGTTTAAAGTGCATATTAGAAAAATAAACATCAAAAATTACAAATTTTGCATTAAAATGTTCAAACACCTTACCAAAATTACCGCTGAGAAAGAATATAGTAAGTTAGATGCAACATATTTGCATGGTACTGAAAAAGTTAGTTTGCTTTCAGAAAAAAGTATATCATCATCATCTGAATCCTTAAGCGCGAAAATCAATTTAGTATTTAATCCACAAAGATTTCTAGGAGAACCTAAATGATTATGGAATAAAAAAGAACATATTTAAAGAAATAACACTCAAAGCCTCAAATAGGCCCATATTTGAAATGAATTATTAGTCAAGATTTTCAGAACAAGCTGTTTTTTCAATCATGTGTCCCCAAGTGAATATCAAAGGTGACTGGGTTAGTAAAAACATAAGAATGCATGTGTTCTCTGTACGCCACAGTAATATCACAGGCATTGTCCAGTAGGAATTTGAAAGGGTTAATTTCACAAATCCCCCCTGAACTTTGTGTTGA